CGTGTCCAGTCTGGTGCTGCAGGAAGCAGGTGACCACAGGCAGAGTGACCGGGGCCATGGGGCCTTCTGTTGGAGGAAGTGAGGCGGGGACCACGGTCATGGGCGTGTGGGTTGAGGACACGGTGCCACATCGGCTCTGTGTGGGAGCACAGCCATGCAGGCTCGTCTGCCCGGTAAACACAGGCGTGGCCAGCGTGCCCTGTGCCCTCTGCAGCCTCTGTGCAGAGTGACACGACCTTGGCCTTCTCTGGTGTGTGTGGGGGGAGCACTGCTGCCGGCTGTGCCGCCGCCGGGTCCCCTGGGCCCCTTTCCCCAGCCCTGTGTCCAGGCAGAGAGTGGATGGAGGGGGTGGTGTGGGGGAGGTCGGGGCCCAGCTCGCCCGTGTCCTGTGGGTGCCCTGGTCCCTCCTGGCCTTGAGGCCTCTCCCTTCAGCCTAGCCTGGCTCCACCGGGCGGCACAAGGGGGGGGGCTCCTTCCCTCTCCCGGGCTCCTGCGCTGCCCCTTCATGGAGCGGCGACTGGGGAGAGGAGCAGGGGACACCACGAGCCCGCTCAGGGCCCGAGCCTTCCCCACAGCCTCTCTGAGCCCCTGTGTGCATCTCCCTTCTAAGGAAGACCCCAGGGACCCCACATCTGACCCTGAAGACCCTTCCAGCTCTTGGAGCTCCCACCTTGAAGTCCTCTGCCCCCTCCTCCCGGGATACAGCCCCGCCTCTGCTCCTCCCTGGGGTGCGATGGGGACATGCAGGAGGGGCCGGGGTCCCTCCCTGGGGCTCCAGCCGTGCGCACCCCGATGTGCTGACCCCAGGCCTCTCCTCCCCCACCCTGCTCTGACCTTTGGGGGCTCCTGGGCCCGTGTCCATGGTGGTAAGGGCAGCACCAAGAGGCGTGTTTGGCCAGGGCGGCCGTGGGCCCCACTGCGATTCAGGTGAGGATCCCCCAGGAGCCCCCTGAACACAGGTGTGCCTGCTGCGGCCCCAGCCCCCCTGCACAGCCCCTCTTGCACGAGGCAGTGTGGGTGGGGTCTGGGGTGGGCCTGGTGGGCTGGCCACAGGGGCCGACCCAGCTTGGGGGTCAGAGGCTGGGCCTCTCGCCCTCCCTGTAGGAGCCGAGTGGGGAGGAGTCTCTGGGTGGGAGGGGCTCAGCTTGTGTCCAGTCCGGGGCCCACAGGCCTCAGGTGCTGTGGAAACCTGAGCCCCAACACCAACCCTGACCTTAACCCTAGGGCAGGCGCTGCAGCCCAGCACCCACACTCCTGTCCAGGGGCTCCCTTGGGTGGCCAGCAGCAGGGAGGGGCTGTCTGGTACAGGGGCTGTCCCTGGCAGGGTGGGGCCCCAGGGCAGGAATTCGGGGAGCCGGGAAGCTGGCTGGGGGCTGTGGGAGGGGCAGGGTGTGGGGCTGGTGCACGTGGCCTGTGGGCCGCTGTGGTGGGTAGGGGCTCCTCCGTGGAGGAGACCCTGCCTCAGGGGCCTCGGCCCTGGCTCCAGGGGCCGCCTCCCAGCCCGAGCCCCGAGGGCGGGCTCTGGGGTCACCCTGGGTGCCGCCTTCTGCACTCCAACTCCAGGAGCCCTGGCTCTGCAGGAGGCCGCGTGGCCCAGGAGATGGGCCGAGCTCGGGCGGGGGCGCCACTCACCCGAGGGCTGAGGCGTGAGTGTCTGTGGTCTCCCCTGCAGGTGGGGAGCCCTGCCCAGCTGGTCGGCTAAGTGCCGGGGTCCTCAGAGCTGATGCAGGAGCCGCGAGGAGCCCCTCCTGGTTAGCAGAGGGCAGACCCCAGACCCAGCTCCCGCTGCCGCCCCTCCGGCAGCTCTGGCTCTGCCCCCCATGCTGGCTTCAGCGCGTGACTTGTGCCCACAGCTTGGAATCTGAACCGAGCCAGCCAGGGAGGCTGTGCCAGAGGCGGAGTGGCCTGGGCCTGCGGCCGCTCCCCAGCCCTGGCCGGGCCTGGGACAGCTCCTGCACTCGCCTTTCCCGGAGGCCCCGGCTGAGGTCGGCTGCCCTTCTCCGTTCTGGGAACGCTCAGTAACCCTCTGCTTGACTCAGCTGCTGCGGGTTCCGCTGGGTGCCTCTCCCCTCCCCCAAACCTGCAGCCCCGGCCAGCCCTGGGAGAGCCACGGGAGCCGGCGGAGGGGCAGCCCACGTGGCGGGTGGGACTTTGCAGACGGGGTTGTGTTAAGGACCCCAGCTAGGAGTCAGCCCTGGTTCATGTGAGGGCTTCACACCATATCAGGTCCCAGCGTGCGAGGCAGAGGGAGAGCGGGGGGGGGTGGGGGGTGGGCAGAGGGAGGCTGCCCCTGAGGCCGAGGTGGCCTGACCCTGGGAGGGCAGGTGTGTCTGGATGCTGGGCGGCCGGGCACGGCCCGCCCCGAGCCTCCATCAGGAGCCGGCCCTGCCCCGTTTCACTGGGTGGGGGCAGGGTTTGACCTCTGGCTTTCTAAATGGTCGGCCACCCTCAGGCCTGCTGTGGTCTCAGCTCTTGAGGTGAGCGCAAACTTAATGCCAAGGCCGCCCTGCTTTTGCTGTCACCCCTCCTCTTCCTGCAAGACAGGAGCGCCCCCCCCAGAGGCTCCTTGGGGTGGGGGGCACAAAGCCTGCAGGCCTCCGGGGGTCCTCACGCACATGCTGCTCACTCGTGCTGGCAGACACGGGCACGGGCACCGTCACCACCCTGTCCTTGGGAAGGTGCTGGGATGCCCTGGGGGTGTGTGTGTAATGTTCCGGCTCTAGCGACGGCGGGCTGGGGAGGGGGCGGCAACAGCTGTTGGCCCCGGTGGGCTCAGGGCAGCCTGCCCACTGGGAGGGCACAGCAGCCCTGGGCCAGGCTGTGCCAGGGACTCAGAAGGGTGCCTCCAGGCCCTGCCGTGGTGTCCTGGTGCCGTCGGGCGCATTTCCATTTAAAGATGAGAAGCCGGGAAGGCAGGGGGGCCGAGTGCACAGGGGCCCGTGTGGGCCGAGGCTGGGCTGGGACCTGCGCCTCAGACACCCAGGCCTGGACATCGTCACTGGGAACCTGGGCCACAGCGTTGTCAAAACAAAGAGGCAGGTTCTGGGCCGGCGGGCTCTGAGGACAGCGGGGGCGGGGCGGGCGGACCCAGGTCAGCTGTCCTGTCCCCGAGAGGCTGGCGCTGATCTGTAACCATGGCAACAATGCCCTCTGGAAACGGAGCAACCGCCAGGCCTTGCTGGCCCGTGGTGGCCTTCGGAAGCAGCCATGTGTGGCTTTGGGGGCCAGCCCAGGGTCAGCAGAGCCCACTCCTCTCCCTGCTGTGCGTGTGTCCACTTCCCCAGAATGCGGCTGTGCGTGGAGAGGAGGGGGCTGCACCCTCGGGGGAGGGAGAGTAGCCAGGGGCAGGAGGAGGAGGGGCCGCGGGGGCGTCCTACAGCTGAGATGTGGAGGGGAGACCCCTGAGATGTGGAGATGTCAGAGGGGAGACCGAGGCACAGAGTGGCCGACGCTTAGCCCCAAGCTGTGGTGAGGCGGGCAGGCGGGGAAGACGTCCAGCATCCGTCTGTCCAGGCGGCGACACAGCGGCCCCGTGGAAAGAGGGGGTGGGGTTTGTGCAGGGACCCAGGCTGCAGCCGCAGGCGAGGGGCTCACAGCAGCCTGGGGACCACAGGGTGGCCGTGTGCTGGGACTTCCCTCCCGCGACAGGTGACCTGGACTCCGTGCACCTGATCTGGGGGCTCAGAGGGGACGTGGTGGTGGGGCTCCCTCTGCCTGTGTTGCCACGCACGGGCTAGACTATTGGGAGGCCAGAGGTGGCCCCACAGGCATCTTGGGCTTCAGGCAGCCTGTGCAGCAGGCGCTCCCGGCCTCGGCCCAGTGGGGTGAGATGGGGGGCTCGTCGGGGCTCTCAGCTGAGCAGGCTGCGGGCCAGCTCCCCCACAGCACCCTGCTCTGAGCAGCTCACAGCCCCGGGCAGCAGCCAGGGCGGCCAGGGCGTGGGCTCAGGCTGCTGGAGTTTGGGGTGCTGGGCCCAGGGCAGCTCTGGGCCAGTCAGTCCCGGTTCTCCCCAGGCCCCGAGCATCTGGGTTTTGCTGGACAACGGGAGCAGATGCCTGGACGACACTGCCCCTTCCCGTCCTTGCCCAAGGCCTGTGTGACTCACTGGGTGTCGCCCGGAGGCAGGGCCTGCTGCTCTGGAAGTCATAGTCATCAGGACACCAGGCCTGGGCTTTTCCCAGCAGTCTGTGCGCTCATCGCTGGGCTGGGGTGGGGTGGGGGTGGAGGTGTTGCACTGAGGTTTCAGCCCTCAGCCGAGCAGGGACAAGGACCAGGAGGGGCCAGCCCAGGACTCCTGCCACTGTAGGGCTCATGCCACCACTGCGGGCACCACCACGGGGAATTCAGACCTGCGTCCAACCACTCGGCTTCCGGTGCATGCAGTGTGCTTCCCGGTGTGGACCCCGCATCTGAGCCGTTTGGGGTCCTGCGAGGTGAATGCCGTGTCCGAGCAGTCTGTGGGTGCAAGGGGCTCAAGCACATGGTCATCTTCCACTGCTTTCCCAGGCCACAGAAGAGAGCTGGATTGGAAGTGCAGCAGCTGGGACTCGAACTGGCGCCCATGTGGGATGCCGACGCTTCAAGCCAAGGTGTTAACCCGCTGCGCCACAGCGCCGGCCCCGATGGTTGGTGTGAAAAGTCTCGATTCACCAGTTTGGGCCATGCTGGGCTGCTGTGGCCCCAGCCGCAGAAGAGAGGCAGGGGTGTGGCTGAGCCGTGTGGCAAAGAGGCCCTGGGCAGCGAGAGTGGGTCCCCCTGCACCACTGCTTGGGCCGGCGCCGTCCGCCTCCCTTCTCCCTGGTGTCCCCTCCCCAGAGCCACATCGTGGCACACGGCACAGCGCAGGAAGGCTTTGGGGAGCGCCCAGGTGACTCCGGGGGGTGGCTAGGTGCAGGCCTCGTGGCTGGGATTACCTGGGCTTTGGGGATGCTTAACTTTTATTTTTATTTATTGGCATTTGGGAGACAGAGATCTCCCACCTGCTGGTTCACTCCCTAAATGCAGGGAACGGCTGGGGCTGGGAGGGCTGAAACCAGGAGCCAGAGCTGCAGCCGGGTCTCCCACGTGGGCGGCACCCCCAGGGTCTGCATGAGCAGGGAGCTGGCCTCAGGAGGCAGACACTGGAGTGCAGCCCCGGGCTGCTGGGACTGGGGGTGGCGTGTGGGGGTCCCAACGCCCATCCGGCCCTTCGCTGCTCTCTGGGCTGGATTAGGCAGGCTGCGTAGGGCGTGGGGAACCGCTCGTCCCTGGCAGCTTTCGAACGGATCAGACTCTGGTTCTTTCAAGTCTCCTGGTGAGCTAGGCCACACCTGTGACAGAAGAGGACGACCCCCAGGAGCCCGCCTCCCAGCTGGGGCCATGGAGGCCCAGGCCCCACCGAGCCTGCGCGGGCCAGCTCCCGCATCCAGGGCGGGGGCTCCCTCTGCTCAGCAGGCTCCCGGCTGCCCGGCTCAGGCCGGGTGGGCGCTTCCTGTGCACGCTGGAGGCCTTGCGGGGAGGGCGCTGGTCGGGGCAGAGACAGAGGTCGGCCTGGACTCCGTGCACCTTCAGGCTCCCCCCCACGAGGGCTGCTCCCAGGGCACGCAGGGGTAAACTGAGGTGCGTCCCGCCTGCAGTGGAGGTGCCTCAGCCCCTGCACCTGCGTGGGAGACCGGAAGAAGTTCCTGGCCCCTGGCTTCGGCCTGGCCCAGCTGGCCGTTGCGGTCATTTGGGGAGTGAACCAGCGGATGGAAGACCTCTGTCTGTTTCTGCAACTCTGTCTTTCCAAAAATAAATCTTTAAAGAGAAAACACACACACACACACACACACACACACACAGCAGCCGCGTGGCTTCTGTGACAGCAACATAAATATATTTCTTTTTTTAAAAAAAATTTTATTATTGAGGCAGAGTGGACAGTGAGAGAGACAGAGAGAAAGGTCTTCCTTTGCCGTTGGTTCACCCTCCAATGGCCGCTGCGGCCGGCGCACCGCGCTGATCCGATGGCAGGAGCCAGGAGCCAGGTGCTTCTCCTGGTCTCCCATGGAGTGCAGGGCCCAAGCACCTGGGCCATCCTCCACTGCACTCCCTGGCCACAGCAGAGAGCTGGCCTGGAAGAGGGGCAACCGGGACAGAATCCGGCGCCCTGACCGGGACTAGAACCTGGTGTGCCGGCGCCACAAGGTGGAGAACTAGCCTAGTGAGCCGCGGCGCCGGCCAAAGAGATTTCTTGCGTGGACGAAACGCAATAAATACGCCGGGGGCCGGCCCGCGCATGCGCACCATGGGAGCAGCGTCTGGCCCGCGCACGCGCACCACGTCAAGCGCGCGCCCGCGGCCCGGATGTTCTGAGGTAAAACTCGACGGAAATGTCTCCTGGAAGGCCGGCGCGGCGGAGGCGGCCGCGGGGTTGCGGTCAGCCGGTCCTGAGGCGCAGGACCCTGGACAGGGGCTCCTTGGCGCTGGAGTAGATGAGGTAGGAGCCGGCAGGCGTGCTGAAGGCCTCCCAGTCCCGGCAGCCGAAGGTGGGCAGGCTGTGGGCGGCCACGAAGCCCTCGTAGCCCTGCCACCTGCGGGGAGGTCGGGTCAGCGCCGGGCAGGGCCGGGCAGGGCCGGGCAGCGCCGGGCAGGGCCGGAAAGGGCCGGTCAGGGCCGGTCAGTGCCGGGCAGGGCCGGGCAGGGCCGGTCAGCGCCGGGCAGGGCCGGGCAGGGCCGGGCAGTGTCGGGCAGTGTCGGGCAGGGCTGGGCTGGGCAGGGCCGGGCAGCGCCGGTCAGGGCTGGGCAGGATCGGGCAGCACCAGCTAGTGCCAGTCAGGGCCGGGCAGGGCCAGTCAGGGCTGGGCAGGGCCGGGCCGGGCAGGGCCGGGCAGTGCCGGTGAGCGCTGGGCAGGGCCGGGCAGCGCCAGCCAGCGCCAGTCAGGGTCAGTCTGTGTCGGTCAGCGCGCTGTCAGCCGGGGCGGTGGCTGCGCAGAGCTGGGGGCCCTCGAGGGGGAGCCTTCCCGCCTCCAGCAGTCCCTCGCGGCCTCCCGGGTGTCCGGAACGTGCGGGGCCGGTTCTGCCCCTCGGCGGCCCCCGCGCAGGCACGGGGACCCCCAGGGATCTAGGGGCCCAGGAGCCATGTGTCCTGGCTGCTGTCCGGCTGGCAGGGCAGGCACACCCCGCGCCCCACGGCGGTCCCCACAGCGGTCCACACGGCTCCCAGAGGGAGGCGGGAAGCCCTCGGCTGTGCTCTGCGAAGCTGTCACCCGCCACACCGACTCTGCTTTACCCAGCGCTCTGGGCCCCGGGGCCTCACGGCACTGCCCTTGGCTGTCATGAGAAGTTCTGTTGATTTCCAGAAAAATCTGCCCTGCTCCACTGACAGGCCGACAGGGCCATCCCTCCGTTCTTTTTCAAAAATTTCTTGACATCTTTAAATGTTTACTCTTCCCCATGAATTTTAAAATTACTGTGTCATGTCAAAAAGTCTACAGCAGTATACTTGAAAGACTAAAGAAAATGGATCACTTTTCTAGGGAAACACGGATGACCCAAACCGTCCCAAGAGCGAGGGAAGTGAGGCTGACCCAGTGAGGCTGGGAGAGTCACTCAGAATTCTGACACCGGTAGAGCGGGCCCACACCTCGGAGCACAGCCCACTGGACAGGCAGCCTAGACCCATGGCCCTGTGAGCCGGCTCCCGTCCGCAGGTGTATTTACGGAGCTAGGCTCACATCACACTGGATGAAGGGTAAGTCCCCCAGAGAAAATCCAGGGTGATTTCATTTCCTGCTCGAGATGCAGAAATCTTCAACCTAAGCCGCTGGAATCTGGGTCATCTTCAGTAATTATGCCTGATTATCCGCTGGCACCGGCCCCACGCACAGAGGAAATCTCTCATTAGAAGTCATTACACCAACATCAGTGGAAGGAGCCAGGGCGTGTGCCAAGAGGCGCCGAGGAAGCCACACACAGGACTCAGGCTGCTCATGGGAGCCCAGGACAGTGCCCATGGAGCCTCGGAGCCAGAGCGCTCGGCACACCAGGCGCGGCAAGGTTGCGGCCGCTCCTGCTGCTGGCGGGGCTGTCCTGGGACTGCCTGCTGCCTCAGAAGACGCAACGAGCTCAGAAAACGCCACAGAAACCTGACGAGTCACGAGGCAGGGATGCCTCATTCCCAGGCGTGTGTTCCCAAGTCCTGGGAGACTCTTCCTAAGAAAAACCACTGGGCTAATGGGATAATTGGGCTAGGTGGCTAGACAGAAAAATTGATTGTTGTGGTAAGGAACTGGAAACCAAAACCTAAAGACCCCACTTATCACGCTTAGAATACTTGAAAGACATGAGAGGCCTTCAAAAAGTGCATGGAAAGTGGAATTAAAAGGTAAGTTTATGTTGGTGCAAATTTTTTTGAAATCCCTGCATATTTTTTCATAATATGCATTTCTGCAAAGTGTTTGAAGGCCCTTTGTATGCATAGGTTTCAGATTTTTTGCTGGTGCAGCCATGCCTGGGAACTGTTCCTTGTTCTGGGACAGTGGCCACCTGAGAGGGAAGGTGAGCCCCCAGGGGACCAGGTGGTGAGAGGCCTGCAGGCCTCTGGCAGCTGCTTACCTGTAAATAATGCTGTTCACCAGGAAGGTGCTCCCATCAAAGGAGTTTGCAACCACCAGGAAGTAATCTTCTCCCACAGAGAAGAACTCCCAGTCCAGGGCACTGTGGAGACAGAGTGGGGTCAGGGTGAGGCCCAGGTGCCCCGGGCACAGGCCCAGCGCTGGCGTCAAGCCTGACGGCTCCATACATGGGTTCTGTGGTGCATCCCCTTCTACAATGGGCTCCTAAGCACAGATATTCCCACACTTGTTTTATTCTAAACTATTCTACAGTGTGCAAACTGGAGTTTGCCGTGAAATTCAGTCTTTTTGCAGGAGCCCGCATTTAATGGTGTGGGTTGAGGTGATAGAAACACAGGCCTGCTGACCTGGCCATGATGGCCGCAGAGCCCACAGAAGCTGCGGGCCACCGGGGCCTTCATCCAGGCACCGCCTCTACTCTTTTTCTCATTTTTAAAAATTATAGAAGTGCCCCCCCCTCAAAAAAATTATAGAAGTGACCCATTAAGAAGTCAGCACTGTAGACATTTGCAAATCAAATGACTCCAAATCCTCCTGGCCCGCCTGCACACACCCCGGTCCCTCCCCGTTCCTGGAGGAATGGCTGCAGGCCCCTTCCAGAGCGCGTCTCCTCACGCTCACACCCACGCGGCTCTGAAACACTTAGCCCTGCGGTCTCCTGAGTCCGACCACATGGCTTCCCTGCACTCAGCTGCTTCTGCCACCAGAGCTTCCTGCCCTGAGTTTATCCACTGCTGAATCTCTCGGGCTGATACCCAGGCCTGACTCAGGAGGGGTGAGGGGACCTGGAAATGCTACTTGCTCCACTTGGGGCTGGAGTTAGCCCTGGCCTCTGGCTCCAAGCCCAGTCCCTTGATTCCTGTTCCTGGGATCTGAATACCACAGGTGCAGCTGAATTTTCATTCATGGTTTTCTGGGTCCCAACTTGATGAAGCAGGCGGTGCAGGCAGAGATGGCCCGGGGTTCTCAGAGCTGGGGCCCTGCCTGGTGGCGCCACAGCCTTTGGCAGCTCTGCAGACTGGGTTGGGTGGGAACTAGCACCCCGTGGTCCAGGTCTGCTCCATCCTCCCTGGCTGCTCCCTGGCTCCACGTGCCAGCCCCGAGTCCTGGTGTTGTGGACATGGGACATGGAGTAATGTGTGTTGCTTTCATGGTGGCTACAGGGGAGCCCTGCCAAGTCCTTGGGCCTCACACACTGGCCCTGGGTGATGTGGACCGGCCAGGTCTCCATGGAGCCCTGCTGTGCCCTTAGTGCCCAGGCACGTGGCCCTCCCAGGCCCTGCTCTTCAGGTTGAAAGTCATGTATGTGGGAAGTGCTGAGCCCGTGTGCCTGGCTTGGTTATGGGGTATAGGTGCCCAGGCGGCGCCGCCTTCCTGGGCCAGGCTCTCCATGGGAGGGTGGTGGACTCAGCCCCGCAGGTCACAGGACCCCGCGCCCCAGCCGCAGTACCTGCAGGTGGGAATGTCCTGAAACTTGACGAAGGTCTGGGCGGTGACATTCAGCTCGTAGATGACCGAGTTGATGACGTAGGAATCGTTCTGCGCCTGCATCTCCACATCATAGCTGTGACTGTTGGCGACGGCGAGAAACAGCCGCTCCCCGATGCGAAAGACCTCCCAGTCTGCAGCACCGAACGTCTGCCCAAGTGAAAGGGGCGCAGGAGATCAGTGAGGGGCTCCCCTAGTCATGCCCGGGCCCCGCCGCACAGCCTGACAGCAGGGCCACAGCACCACGGCCGGCACCACCCAGACACAGCACTCCTACTGGAGCCTCCTGCACCCCACCCTCTGCAGGGACATCAGAGCCAGGCTGCACCACTCCCACAGGGCTCCTCCATGTAAAGTCCTCCTTAGCAGCCTGGGCCCCCATCCTACAAGGTCCATTTGCTGTCCCACCTCTTCCAGGGAGTCCTCCCTGATTCTCCTGCCCCAGCTCCAAATGCCAACACAAGGTCTAGAAGCCTCCCACGTTTCTTCCCATGAGTGCTCCCTGTCCCAGAGTTGGGCAAAGCTTTCCCCTCGCCCCATGATCTGGGCCCGTCACTGGCTTGTGTGCCTATGGTTCCTCTGTAGGCCACTGCCCACCTTCGGGGGTGTGGTATGCTGGGCAGTGCTGGATTGGCTTCCGTGTCACAGCCACAGCAGAGCCTCTGCCCCAACCCTGAGCTGCAGGAGCCAGTGGGCATGCAGGACCCTGAGGAGCAGGTGTGTGCTGAGTGTCTTGGGAAGGACAGTGGTAGGGAGAGGACCCACGGAAGCCCCTGGTCCTGGGGCTGAGCACTGAGGAGTGAGGGTAGGGACAGGAACTGGAGGAGATGGAGGCCCCAGTGACCACACATGGGCCCAGACCATGGCAAGGGCTGCAGAATGGAAGAGCCCAAGGCAGCCCATGGTGGAGCCTGCAGCTCCCAGAGGCCATGGAATGTGTGTGCTCCCTGGGAGACCCCAAGCCCCAGCCTGAGGCAGCTCTGCTGGGCTCAGCGCCTATGCCGGCTCCAACTGGCCCTCAGGCTGCTGCAGGCCATGGTGCTGGTGGGGAGCTCATGTTAGACTGGCTGCTGGCTGACGATGACTCTGGATGAAATCCTTTAAAAATGTGCCCTGGAGAGTGGCCCAGCACAGGCAGAACTGGAGGGACCTCGAGGGAAGAGAGTGTGGGGCTCACTCCTCACCATGGTCCTCACCCCTGTGGGACAGGACTCGGGGATCACAGTCTGTCAGCCTGAGGGGACAGAAGTCAGGGTCCAGGACTCCCAGAGTGGCTGGAAATGAAGGGATGTCCCCAGTGTGGGGCCTGCAGCTCTCTGAAGGCCCTTAGACTCTGGTCTAAGTCCTGGCTGCTCATGGAACAGGAGTCCAAGGGGGCAAAGAGCAACTACAGCCAAGAGGATCCGGGACCAATCAGAGGCCTCCACAGCTGCCCTGCCCCAGGAGACACAGGTCGCGGCTTGACTCCTGCCAAGTCAGAGGAGTTCCAAAAATACTCTGCAGCTTCCACAGAAACCTCTGAAGGGCCGCCCCCTTGGGCAAAGGACCTTGCCCCAGGGCCAAGGGACATCGCCCAGGCCTAGGATCAAATCAGACTGCAGAGCAGTGTGTCAACTCAGGCTCCCTGGGGCCGAGGCGATCAGCCAAGAACTCGAAATCTGGCAACAACACCACTCAACAGTCCTTAGAGGAAGACAGCTGGATGTGTAGGCCCTCGTGCAACGTACAGTGAGTGAGCACGGGGGAGAGAGGACAGATGTGACCGCAGCACAGAAACACGGTGAGCAGAAGGGGACAGACACGGGGCAGATCCTGGAATCGGCAGACAAAGTGGAAACGCCCGAGAGGCTGGAGGGAAAGATTGTGTAATGTGTAATGAGATGGGGAGATGAGGGGAGCTAAGAAAATTCAGAAAAGGCTCACATGGAAATCCCTTAACTGAAAAACAGAGGATCTGTGTGAGTCTGGGTGGGACTGGGAGCTGCTTGGGCAACGTGAAAGAAAGAAGCAGTGGGCAGGTCGGGGCCAGCGTCCAGGTGGAAGCACACACAGGAGTGGTGGGTTTCCAGGAGCAGGACCTCTGCGAGCTGGGGTAGCAGTGGGGCTGCATGCACGTACAGCTGGGGTCACGGGACGAAAGGAAAAGAGGGTGAAGGAGGAAGGACATTTGGATGAATGAGGCTAAACTGCTCCAAGTTTGACTACAGTCACCTAACCACAGAGCCCAGATCGGAGGCCTTAAGTGAAACAGAGAAGCCACGTGCACCAAACAGCCAGAAATAAAAGAGGAAACCCTTTCAGGAGCAGCCAGAGGAATGGCGTTTGATAAGCAGAACAGTGACAACAGATGACACCTGACTGCTCATCGAATGTGCTCAAGTCAGTGGAGAACATCTTCAGTGTGACTGTGAGGGAGATGTGAGCCCACCGTCTTCAGCTGGTGGAAATGGAACAGTGAACGAAGACACTTTCAGATAAAACCACAGCACTGATTGCCACAGGCCTACTTTATAAGAAGCACCAAAAGAGGTCTCTCAGGTGAAAGAAAATTCAACAGGTAGAAATGAGAGTCATAGAAAAACACAAAGAGACACCAGAAATGGTGATGGTGGAAATACAGAGATAACTATATATTTATTTTTTGTTGTTGACAGGCAGAGTGGACAGTGAGAGAGAGAGACAGAAAAGTCTTCCTTTGCTGTTGGTTCACCCTCCAATGGCCACCGTGGCTGGCGCACCGCGCTGATCCGAAGGCAGGAGCCAGGTGCTTCTCCTGGTCTCCCATGGGGTGCAGGGCCCAAGCACTTGGGCCATCCTCCACTGCACTCCTGGGTCACAGCAGAGAGCTAGCCTGGAAGAGGGGCAACCGGGACAGAATCTGGCGCCCCGACCGGGACTAAAACCCAGTGTGCTGGTGCCGCAAGGTGGGGATTAGCCTATTGAGCCGCGGTGCCGGCCTGAGATAACTATTTAAAGAACAAACTTTGACAGACTGTGGGACTTAGAACCTAACTAGTATGTGATTTTCATATATGCACACAATAGCATGACAGGTAGAGATACCTGGAATTAAGCCGCGATGAGGTTTGTGGTTTGAGTGTGAGGAGATAATTGTGTGTATTGTAATTGCTGAAGCAATATGCTCATTGAATACAAAAAAGGAGGAAACAGAATGGAAGACTATATTTGACAAAGTATTTGTGTCCAGAACATATAAAGAATGTCTATACCAACAATGAAAAGGCAAAATTAAAATATGCCCGTCTTGGATCAAAACACATCCTACAAATGAAAATGTAGGAGCCAGTTAGCACATGCAAAGGTGTCCCAGTGGTCAGTTGTTGGGAAGCAGAACCTGAAACTCACATGGGGCATCACCATAAACTCAGTGTCTAGGATTATAATACCGACAAGGCCAGTGCTGGCGAGAACCTTGGACACTGTGGGAGCCGTGACGGTGCATTCTGAAACTGTAGGTGATTTCTGCAAAAGACAAACACACACCTGACTGGTGACCTTGAGTCCCACTTTTGGGTTTTTCATGACAGGAGCTGGAGACAGCGTAGGTGGCATTGGTAGGAGAGGGGTGGGCAAATGGAGATAGACCCCTGTAAATCACTTGGCACAAAGGGACTGGTGATTTGTGTGTGCAGCAACGCACAGGACCCACTCTGGGGCCTCTTACGGAAGTTTCAGGGACACCTATGAAGCAGTCCCAGAAATCCACCGTGGTGCCTGGTGGGGGCAGGGTTGAGGGGCCGGTGCCTCCACAGGGTGGGAGTGTGGTGGTGGACACATGGTGTAGCCACCCATTGGAATGCTCAGGCTGCACAGCTGCACACTTCAAACCTAAGCATCTCATTGTACACACAGGCAGCAGTTTCTCCGGGAAACTGGGCTCCTTGTTCCCAGGAACGTAAGTCTTGGAGAACAGGGGCGGCTTCCTCTTTGTCCTAAGCCTTCTTCAGTGTGGAGCCTGGAGCCCGGGATAGGTGCTCCGGTTGTGAGAAAGGGGGAATGCATGGCTCCTCCCTGCTGGGGGTCGGGGCCACTGTCATCTCAGCCTAAGTAGATCAGCAGAGGGGCGTGAACATGGGCAGAACAGAAGGACTGGGGGGCACGCGGATGCTCACAGATGGCACCTCTGCTACAGAGGTGTGGTGGTTAAGTTAGCTGGGCCATGGGGCCCACGTGGCTGTGATGCGTGACTTCTGGGCTCTGTGGAGTGTGTCTGGGAGAGTTAGCATCTGAAATGGTACAGTGAGGAGAGCAGGTTCACCCTCACTAGGGTAGGTGGGCATCCCTCAACTCACAGGGCCAGACAGAACAGGCAGGTGGGGTAGGCCAATGTGCACTCGGTGTGAGCTGGGATGTCTGCCTCCTGACGTTGGACACTGGGGCTCCTGGTTCCTGTTTTCTGAGCCTTAGGACTCACACAGGCCATCCTGCTGCGTCCCTGTCCTCACTCAGGACTCACAGTGAACCTCCCCGCTGGCTCCCTGTCTTCATTGGAGCCACACTGCTGGCCTCCAAACTGCAGATGGCAGATTTTGGGGATCTTTAGCCTCTGTCATTGTCTGAACCAAGCCCTATAATAAATCTCTTACACAAAGGGTCTCCAAAAACTTCATGATAATGCATATTATGAAAAATATATGCCAGATGTAAAGACTTTTTGCACCCAGATAGAGTGGTGCTAAGTCAACGTGACTCGTCTGAGCAGGACCTGGTGTGAGGCCCGAAGGAAGGAAAGAGCCCTCAGACCAATGCAAACGCTGCTAGATTGAGGCAAGGGCAAAGCTTGGGAAGAATGGAGAAAGCATGATGCTTTACAAAGGTAGTGGGGGCAGTGTCCCCAAGAAGTGAGCAGTATACAAAGGGACAACTCATCTTAAGGAGGTGTTGCAGTTGATTTCTCAACAATGTTGCAGTGGATTCGTTTCTGAGAGGAGGAGAGTGGTGGGGGCAAGAGGCGTGGAGTCACCACACAGACCCACTCATAAGAAATCTACTTCAACATCCGGCGCGCCAATGTGACTGAGAGAGAGCATGTTGGACTCGGCACGGTCCTCCCTGGATTTCGGCAAGAAGGCCCCTCGGTGTTTTGTGTGCTGTTCGGTTCTGTGAGGGTGAGCACAGAACTCCCTCCT